AGTGCAGAGGACGGGCTTCCAGGATATGCCCTTTGGTAGGGAGATGATGCATGGAGGGGATTGGAACCATGGCAATGTAATGATATGCGATGGAATGAATGTAAAACTAGAGTTCTCTCATGTAAACTATCATATAATTCACAATAAAACATTGAAAAAAAAAAAAAGATACTCAGGGAGCATGCTGAAGATGACAATGTGTTTGCAGGTGCTAGCCACTTTTCAGAGTCCTGGTGTGACACTGTAGAATAATAAGCACTGGACTACTAATCTCAAGGTTGGTGATTCAAACCCACCATTCCTTGGAAACCCTATCTATATAGGCTCCCTATGAGTCAGAACCGACTCGACACACTTAACAACAGCCACTCTTTCTGTGTTCTGCCTGCAGATCACAAACAGTAAGCAGAATTCGCCAAAACAGCATCACATTCAACCTTAGGAACAGGACATTAATAGAACTAAAGGCCAAGTCCCTACTGCCTCTCCCTTGCAGATGAGATCAATCCTCTCCAAGAAGTTGTTGTTGATTAGTACCATCAAGTCCGTTCCAACTCATAGAGACCCTGTATAGTGTTTCTGAGGAGCAGCTGGTGGGTTTGAACCATCAACCTTGTGGTCCGGTGCTTATTCTATAGCGCCACACCAAGACTCCTCTCCAAGCTTTGCTAAAATGCTCACCATTTTGGAGAGTAAACTAAAAACACATGTAAATTCTCCAACAAAGTCATGAGACTTAATTAATCATGGATGAAGTATGCTCAATAGGAAATCTATACTTACTGCTACTGTCATTTGGAATTTTTTAAATCATTTGCAAAATGGCCTAAGGTTTAGAGATATACCTTAAACAATGTGTATTCTCTATAATTTATAAGTATACCTCAAGCCTGTGTTGGTTCAAGAATAAGTAACTTCTAATACAACAAGCTTAAAATTTATAAATCGTTCTCATTAGCACACAACAAAGGTGACTTAAGACTACCTGCAGGCTATGAATTACATGGAACACAGGAGGAAAAAACAGAAGAAAGGGCCACTCACCTCATATTTATACTTTTCACCAGCTTTAGCCTTTTTCAGTCTTTCTAGCGCTTCTTGGCGCCCTTTCTTTGATTTCTTTTCTCGCCGGGATCGAGAAATTACAAAACTCTCTGAATCTGACACAGCTGAAAAACAGCCAAATTTACATGAGAGGTTAGAAAATAGTCCACCATATCCATCCAAAACAAAGGGCTATTCATAGCCAATAGTAATAAACACTTGTAATATGTACAAATGGCTATTTTTTACAATGTAATAATTCACAAAGCACATACCCAATCTGCAGCTCCAATGACTCTTCTAATTAAAACAACTGCTATTTTTTTCCTTCCCCAAAAAGGAAAATTCCAAATTCAACTAATATCTCATGAAGAAGCTAGGGAAGGGAGATTAGTTAGCCATTAACCCATAACCTTACCATTAGAAATGACAGGCTACAAGTAATCTAGAGTATTTTACAGGTTAACTTATTTTGTATTGTATTTCATCAACATTCAAAAGGCTTAAAGGAGCATCCTCTTTGCAAAATAGAGGTCTATGAGACACAAAGATCAAAAAGACATAGTTCCCTGTGCTCACGGAAATTAACATTTACTGTGGGAAATTAAATAGAAACTGTCTCTAAAAGAAGACTTACAGTACAGGGTATAAAGTACAATTTCAAAAGAGGAAGAGATAAGGAACTGGGGGAATTTAATGAACATGGCTCTGAGGAGATTCTTGAATCTCTATCACTGGTTTCAAAGCCTTACCCAGTTAGTTATGATATTATAGAATGACAAGAGTACATGAAATGATAAAGATTCAAATGTGTTTTGTCAAAGTTACTAAAATATAAGGGGACTTCAATGCTTATTCATTCAACTCTTGAATTATTCAAGCTTTTAGCCATTATAAGCTGACCACCCCACAAACAAACTGAAGATTCCCTACACATAGTTAAGACTTCAAAAGATCAGCTGATGAACAACCAAGTCTAGCACAACAATGACGTCTGCCAGCCATGAGTTTAGGCTCAATAAGATTACCATCTATGCCCGCAAAAGTGAGTATTTTATTGTACCTCGTGCTAATTTATTATAAACAGGGGTAGGCACAGAAAAGAATTATTTTTAAGAGGCATCCTAAAAGCTCCAACCCCGCTGGAATGCTCATAACAAATTAAGTGATTAAAATAGGTACAATTTCAAGAACATGTACCAAATGCTGGCAATAAATTGTTATAAACTATATCAAGGTGAAACATAATTAGAGATCTTCCCCCTCCCTGCCTAGCTTTCTGGGAATGGAAATCTTTCTTTATAACATCTCAGCCTATTGTTTGACTTTCACATTTGACTTTTAAATCCATTTCTGAAAGGCATTAAGTAAAAATTAAGAAAATACAGGTACTTAGTGATGGCAGCCACAAAATCTTGATGCCACAAAAATGATTTCAAAAAACCATGAGCTGGACTACATGAAAAGGTCATGGAGATTATTGACCATGACCACTGAGACGGAAAGGTTGGCCTGAGTGTATTCCCTTGAAGAATCCTTGATTTCTTTAATACAAGGAGGCTTCAAAAAATTCACAGAAAAATGGAATTCAAAGATGACAGAATTTTCCATTAATTTTTTAAAGCTCCCTCATCTATTACCCTGATAAAATCTGTAGATCTTCAAATTGACCTAATTCACAGGCAACAATGTTCCACTATACAGGGGCTGGAATACAACGACTGTCCTCAAGTAGTTCACAGTCAAGTTCATAGTCAAAAAAAGACCTCAGGCTACCAAGCATAATATAAACATGGTACCCTATAGGAGACAATGTTGAAAAAGAGCAGTTAATCTGCCTGGGAAACCAGGGAAGGCTCTACGGAAGTTTTCCACAGAGGTCTAGAAAGAAGAATTTCACCATCAGAGAAAACAGTGAAAAAAGTGGCATAGGCAGAGGACAGGCATGAGGCAAATGACAAAGGATGAAAATACAAGGTACAGTCAGAAGGGCAAGTTTAACACGAGAGTGGGGAGTGAATGAGAGAACTGGGAGATTTGGGAGGAAGCAGCACCTCTCAGCACTGCCATTACCCTCTAAGAGCCTGCAGCGGACAGCTGTAATGCTTAGCTAAGCTGCCGAGCATCTGAACCCCGTTTGTGAAGCCCCCTCAACACTTCAAATATTGATGTAAGACAGGGCCCACAATCCACTACAAAAGCTGAAAAAAGGTCAGGTCAGATACTCTTCCCTAGACTGCCTTGCATGGGCATATATAATAGGCTTTACCAATTAGGAATTCCTACTCAGAAAGTACTACATTTCTGGTGTGGAACTGTGGGATAAGCACTTGACCGTAAGGTCATTTGAACCACAAGGTCGATGGTTCAAACTCACCAGTAGCTCCTTGGAAACTATACAGAGTCCCTATGAGTTAGAACCGACTCAACAGTGCATAACAACAACTCAGACTTTCCACTAGCTTCTTTCTCCACAGGAGAAAGATGAGACTTTATGCTCCTGTAAAGATTCCCAGCCTTGGAAGCCCTAAGCAGGGTTGCTAGGAGTAGGAACCAATAGGATTCCGGCTTTACACAAAGAAGTGAATGGGGTAGGGGTGACTTAAGTAGTGACAGCTGCAGGAGGAATGAGTGCCTGGGGCAATAGTGTCAGCATGGCCCCAAAGCACAAACTACAGCATCCAGTACCTGGCCTTGTTGGCAATGGCTTCCTCACTTGGACCAGTTTTATGGCACTGTTACTGGCTAAACAGCTCCAGACAGGCTCTCCAGTCCTCGGAGAGTTACTGTGAACACCACAATATCCTTCTAATACATTCCTTTTCTGTCTAAATCAGTTCGAATGGTTCCTGCAGCTTACAACTAAGGATTCTGGCTAATGCAGGGCCTCAATGTCCTCATCTGTGAAATGGGAATAACTGTGTCTGCTTTCATGAAGTTGGTCAGGGTTAAATGAAGATGTCTGTCTGACTTTGATTTAGTAATATAGCAAGGTAATGTGTATGTACAGCTACAGGGTAGTCACACATACATGCAGTACAGTGGCCTAACTTCTAGAAAGCAAAATTTAACAAAGCGCTTTCCTCAGGGAAGCCTCAATATATAACACTGCAAACAATTAGACACATACTATTCCAATTCCATGAAAATAGGAATCATGTCCAGACTACCCACCATTTTAACAGGAGAGCCTGGTGGAATAGCGATGCCTAGTAAGTACATAAATATGTGCTAAATAAACAAAGCCATGAACCATTTACCTGCTTTTTTTCTGTCTTTTTATCATTAAGTTCTAAGTGCTTCTCATATATAATAACAGCTACTTATAGACCATTCCAAAGAACGAGGCTGTTTTATTTCAATAGTAAGACATGCAGTCTCAGAAATTCCAAGGAGCAGTTCTACACCGTTCTATAAAGGATCACTATGAGTCAGAATCGACTTAATGGCAGTGGGTTTTGGTGTTTTATAGACCTTTCCCCTTTGCACTGCCTTTGTCAAGGTACCACACCTCCTAATACTTAAGAAAGAAGAAAAAACAAAGCTAGATTTTCCTTTTGGGAATACATCTCCAGTGTTTCATGTAGATACATTTGTGGGAAAAGAAAAGAAGAAAAAAAAAAGAATAAGCATAAAAAGAAAATCCAGTTATAAAAGTTTAAACATCTGGTGTACAATTACTGTCTGGAGCACCTCCTTCTTCCTCCAAAGCAGCCAGACACTAGCCTGCAACAGTCTTTCAGCCAACAATCTTTCAGTCTGCTCTACAGGAAAGATTCCAGTCACAAGCCCAGTAACCACTTAATCAGCACCATGACTTAAGAGGGTCTCAAGATTGCACAGTATCCTTCAGAGAGTGATTTCTTGATGTTCTCAGATGACGTACAGTTTTTAGGGTGAGGAAAGGACTTAGTGGCAAATCACTGATAGAGGGCTGCAAAGACTGCTCACATTCCCATTCTACATCCCATTTGTAATCCAGGCTAGTCGACTCTCCAAAATAAATTGTCTTTAAAAGAAATAAAAAAATAACTGAAGGCAAGAACAAATTGAAAGCTCTGATTCAGAACCAGGTGGATGCAAAGGAAGCTGATTAGGCAGCAAGTTCTCATTAATGGTGATGTATTTGAGTGACAGGCGATGAAATGCTAAAGCTAAAACTGGGAAGCATCTGATTTGAAGTCAGAAGTTCACTGAAGTCAAGTCACACTTTAGTTGAACACTGTTCAAAAATCAGAAATCAGACCCAGTCATTTGCATGTTCGTATTCTATTTTTGGAAATAAAAGATTACCACCGACAAACTGAATGAGACAAGGCATCCAAAATGCTGCCGAAGTGATGCATTTTTAAAAGAAACTTCACCAAAAATGACTAGAATGCGAACATTATTTCTAGGCAGCATTTGGAAGAACTTTCCACCGGAATGTATAAAGTAGCAACCCATTACCGAAAAGACGAAACGCATTTACATCTTGTGACAGCACTTAGCGATCCGTTACAATGTATAACAATTTCCCTAAGAGTTCCCAGAAAGGGGGGCGCACTTCTGTTCTGTCCTAGACCTCAAGCGGATCCTTGCGGAAGGAGTAACGAAACACAGCCAAAACGGTGCCCCAGCTGAGACCAGTCTAGATGATGGTGTGCCCAGCACGTGGGTGCTACTCACCAAAAGAAATATAAAAAAAAAAAAAAAAAGCAGGTGCTGTGACCTGCAGTGACAGAGAGAAAGCAATTTCCCAAACAAAAAGCCCGGCAAGTAAGCTCCATCCAAAACCAGAAGGGACCCCGCCCAAGACGACGATGGTTCGAGCCCGAACAGACCCGCTAGCGGGACAACCCGGAGCGTGCTTCCCATAAAAAAAGAAACAGAGATCTCCAGAATCCCCACTACCCGTAATCACGCCACGGTCCCCGCACTCCCAATCAAGCACCCCGCGTACGGGACTGTCCCTCACCGCTCGCCCCCGGCTCGCAGTCGTCGCCGTACAGCAACGCCATGGTCCCCCGATCTCCCGATTCCGCGCCAACCAGCCCGAAACTGGCGCGGGGGCCGAGACAGGCGCCAGCCCGAAAGCCAATCAGCGGCTCCCAAGGCTGCGGACTTCCGCCCGGAAGGCCACTTACGTGCCGCGCCACGCCTCGCCCCGCCCCCGGCCTTCCCGCGGGCTCGCTTTTGGCGCCCTGTGATGACCCCTTAGTGAAAGCTAGATCTCAGCAGAGGCCGGAGGAGAGCAAGAGAAAGAAGCGGTCGGGCGCTGGAAAGAAGCCTCCTGTAGACTGGCTGCGCAGGCGCACGCCTGCTGATGGGAAAAGATTGGGCACGTAGTGAAGGACAGTAGGGGCTCTCTGGTTCTGAGTTGATTTTCCGAGAAAAGAGGCGCGGGCGGGCACAGGGTGGGCGTGGTTAGATCCTTTTTCCCGAGCCTGGGAAAGCGACTGCCTCCTGCTGCGCACTCTGAGTTTTATTTGATATTTGGCTTCACTGAGTGTTAGCACAGTCACTACGTGTTATTATTTTAGAATAAGTCACCATTTAAAGATATATACGAAGTCCTGGTGTGGCGTTGTAGGATCAGTAGCCCATGGTAACCACAAAGTTGGTGGTTCAAACCCACTAGCCGCTCCTTAGAAATCCTATACAGGGTTGCTATGAATTAGAACTGACTCCACAGCACTTAACAACAGCACCACTTTAACCAACTGACTAAAACAAACAAAAAAGGCATTACGAAAAGGGGGAAATCTGACCTCAAATGCCTCTTGATGGGATGCACTTGAAAAAAGAAACAACCATCTATGTGATCTTTTTGCAAAAAAAAAGAAAAAGTTTAACTTGACTCTAACAATGAGCAAGCAAGCAGATGTATGCAAAAAGTAGGACGATCTACAAAATACCTGTCCAAACTCTTGCAAAATATCAATATTATGAAAGACAAAAAAGGCATGTTGGAGTGGATGAAAGAGAAGAAAGACTTGAGTCTTGATTGCATCCCAGCTATTAAAAGTAAAAAAGAATATTGGAGAATGTAAGATGACATATGTCAATGCTAATTTTTTTTTTTTTTAACTGACAAGTCAATTCCAACTCAGTGCCACCCTGAAGGACAAAGTAGAACTTCCTTCTCTATCTAACCTGCACCTTTTATAACTCCTAAGTGGAGTCCTGGTGTGGCACTGGACTATTAATCCCAAGGATGGTGGTTCAAATCCACCAGCCACTCCTCGGCAACCCTATACAGGATAACTATGGGTCAGAAACAACTCAACAGCACTTAACAACAAGAAGTAATTAGGTTTAGTACAAATCCTAGTCTGATCCTGGTCTAATTAACATAACAAATAAAGCCTATTCCCAAATGCAGTTACATTCACAGGTATAGACACGTTAGGATTCCAACACATATTTTGGGGGGATACATTTCAATCCATAAGACCAAGTAAATCTACACAATGGGGTAGGAATATTCCTGGAAACTATTCCTATACCATGGACTTCTGGTGTGGTGCTGTAGGATAAACACTGGACTCTGAACCACAAGGTCAGTGGTTCAAACCCGCCAAATGCTCCTCAGAAACCCTGTACAGGATCGCTATGAGTCAGAATCAATTGACTTGATGGCACTTAACAACAACAACATTCCTATACCAGACGTCTACTAATAATTTAAATATATATGAAAGCGCCTTCAACTCACATAAATAGGACAAGGAGTAAAAAATTATCAGCACTCTGGCTGTAGAATTTATTTTAATCAACTTTTAGAAAAGACAAATGTATTCTTTTTCAACATAATCTTGTTTTTCAATACATTTTGTACATCTATCAACAAGCTTTTGTATTCCCTTATTTAAAATTGCTATAGGCTGAATTAAGGAGCTCTGGTAGCGTAGTGGTTACAAATCGGGCTGCGAACCTCAGGGTCAGCAGTTTGAAACTACGAGCTGTTCCGCGGGAGAAAGATGAGGCGTTCTGCTCCCGTAAAGATTTACAGCCTCCGAAACCCTGTATAGGGTCACTATGAGTCGGAATCAACTCACGGCACATAACAGCAACATAGGCTGAATTGCAAGCCACAAATGTGCCACTGTCTTCATTCTTCATGAGAGGTGGGTGAATCTTTGTCCTCGAAGGGCTGTTTTCAGGGGACCAAACTAGTGAAAATCTGATGGAGCAAGATCAGGACTCTAGGGGGGATGCTTTAACACCTCAAAACGACGTTTTTGCAGAGTGTCAACAGTGTGGACATGCATTGTAATGCAAGATCACAATGCCCTTGGACACTAGTCCAAGGCTTGCAACAAAATGTGATCTGGTTTTTTGTCACTATAAATTTTCCTTTTCTAGAATTTCTATAAATGAAGCAATTAAGTGTGTAGTCTTTTCTGTCTGGCTGCTTTCCAGGAGCATAATGCATTTGCAAAACATCTATAATGTTCTTGACTCCCTTTTATTTCTGAATAGTATTCCACTGTATGGATGAACCACATTTGTGTGCAGATCTTTGTGTAGACTTGTTTTCATTTCCCTTGGGTAATACTTAGGAGTGGAATTGCTGAGTCATAAGGTAAATCAATATTTAAATTGGAAATAAACTGTCAAACTGGTTTTCTAATTGGTTGTGCTGTTACATTCCCCCCAAAGGTCTATGAGAAATCCAGGTGTTTTGTGCCCTCACAGTACTATCCCCCTGTGTTTACACTTCTATTCCATTAGGTGTGTGTCAGCATGTCATTGTGAGTTGTGTATTGCCCTATCTTATTCCCAATTCCTCCTTCTAGTCCCTTATGGCTCTACTTCCATTCATTTCATGTATCCTTAGGCCATAACCATGTAACACAATACTATTATTAAAGTGTTTAGTTATCTTTTAGATCAATTAACAATCAGAAAAACAGTGCTGGAACAATAACAGACACATAGACCAATGGAACCAAACTGAGAACGCAGATTTAAATCCATCCACCTATGGACAAAGGACGAAAACATATTAAATCCTACAGAATCTCCACAAATCAAGACAACAACGAGATATCATTTCAACCCAGCAGTAATAGCAAAGTTCAAAAAAACAGAAAACAACAAATGCTGGCAAGTATGTGGAGAAACTGGGACCTACACTCTTGATGGGACTGTAAAACAGTGCAACCACTGTAGAAAATGGTATGGCACTTTGTCAAAAAATGGAAAATATCAGTGACATAGCCACAGAGGGCTAGAGTGGAGAGTGAAGCATCCAGCTGATAAGAAGAGAGGGCATATGCATAAGAACACCCACACTTGCAGATAATACCCACTTGACCT